TTCCCCGGTCCGTGCCCGGCGCGGTCCCCGCCTGAGCCCCGTCTCTCGCAGGTCGCTTCGGTAACCAAGCCGAGCACTTTCTGGGAGCCCTGGCCTTCGCCCGCGCCCTCAACCGGACCCTGGCCGTGCCTCCCTGGATCGAGTACCGGCACCACCGCCCGCCCTACACCAACGTGAGCCCCCGGCGGGGCGGGAGGGCAGGGCGGGGAGCTCTCCGGGATGAGCAGGGGACCCCCGGCTCACGGGCTCTGTCCCCCACAGCTGCACGTCCCCTATTCGGAGCACTTCAGGCTGGAGCCGCTCCGGCGGTACCACCGCGTGGTGAGCCTGGAGCAGTTCATGGAGCAGCTGGCGCCCCGGCACTGGCCGCCCGGCAGGAGAGTCGCTTATTGCTTCGAGGCTGCAGCGCAGCGGAGCGCGGACAAAAGCACGTGTCCCATGAAGGTGAGCTCCTCCTCAGCCCCGCGGGCACGGCTTTGTTCCTAAGGCCCTGACTGACTCATTCCGGTCGCCATTGATTTGCAAATTTAGGAGTTACCCACCGCAAGTTGCTCTGTGTGGCATTGCTTTCACCGCAAGGGCTTGAGGATCAGGGATACAGTCTGTGCAAACACACTTTATCACTTCAGATTTAATTGAGACAGTAGCTTATCTCCTGTTCGCTGTTTTCCAGCTGGTGTTTAAGCAACCTCTCTTAACTACAAGTTTGGAAGCTTTAAGACAAACTTTGCAACCTTCTCAGTGAACTTACCTTAATGTATTTCGCTGTCTCCTTCCTGTGGAGCTGGTGTGTCAAACAGGCTATTCCAGCTGCTTCCATCCTGGAACAGGCCTCTGCTTTGCTCTTCAGGATCTTGCTACATCCATCTTTCAGGTTCTCTGTGTGCACTAAATGAACACTTATCTTTTCTTTGCAGGATGGAAATCCGTTTGGTCCCTTCTGGGACCAGTTCCAAGTGGATTTTGATAAGTCTGAGCTCTTCAAGGGCATTTCCTTCAGTCCTGCATACAAGGACCATTGGATCCAAAGGTAGCAAAAAGATGGAAAAGTGCTGGCAGGTCATTGTGGGCATTTAGAGTCATTCATGAAAGCAGCTGGGACTTTACATTTTGGGGGAGAGATTGAAGTGGTTAGTTAGTAATATTAATGCTTTTTCTATTAAATATTTGCTGAGCACTTCATGTGGGTATTATTTTAGGTATGAACTCTGTTTAGGCTGATTGACTTCTGAGCCAGGAATATTTAATTAATCAAGTATTTATTAAATATGTAATTAATCGTCAAAAGATAATTTGGTTCTCATTTGGGGGTTATGAACTGTATTTGGCTGCTTACCTTGTGTTTTCAGAACCATGAGTGACTTTAGTGGTTGTCAGTAAGTTTGGGTGACAGAATTGGTCTAATTTGAGCTGAAAATGTAACATGAAGAGCTTGGTAGCTCCTCACTGCATGTTTGAGATTCGTCTCTTATTGTCTGTCAGATAAAAAGTCTGAGGTAAAATACAGTCCCTGAGATTTCTTCAGTTCAGATGGAAAACCAGCTAAAATTATCTCAGTTTGGAGCAATAAATGCTGCATTTTTTGGGGTGTTCCTGGTTTCTACTCTACCATTCACAGCAGCCTTCATGCGGGTAGGTCACATTTCACACTGCTGGGGTTTGGTTTTCTGTAGGTTTCCAGCCTCTGAGCACCCCGTTCTCGCCTTACCTGGAGCTCCAGCCCAGTTTCCTGTCCTGGAGGAGCACCGGCCCCTGCAGAAGTACATGGAGTGGTCGGATGCAATGGTGAAGAAGGGAGAAGCCTACATCCAGTCCCTGCTGCTCCGGCCCTACGTGGGAATTCACCTGAGGATCGGCTCCGACTGGGTACGGCAGCGGCTGGGGACCGGTGACAACGGGGTGTGGACAAAGCTGCTCCAAAAGGAGCCATGCTGGGAGAGCCACCTGATCCCTGCTGGCATCCAGGAGCTCCCTGTGTGTTAGCAGTGGCGCTGGGATTCTTTCAGACAGGCAGAGCTGGGGGGACCTGGTGGTGTTTTCTCACGTGAATGTGGTACGAAAAAATGTTCTGGTGAGGTGGGGGTCAGCCTCTCCTCCCAGGGACAGAACAAAGGGAAATGGCCTCAGGTTGCATCAGGGGAGGTTCAGGTTGAATATTAGGGAAAAATTCTTCACTGAAAGAGTGCTTGAGCACTGGCCCAGCCTGACCAGGGCTGTGGTGGAATTGCCATTCCTGGAAGTATCCAGAACACAAGTAGAGGTGGCGCTTTCTGATAAGGCTTAGTAGGCATGGGGTATCTGTTCAAAGTTTGGAGTTGATAATTTCAGAGGTCTTCAGCTTTGATGATTCTGTGATTTTCTTCTCCTCTTCCAATAGAAAAATGCCTGCAACATGTTAAAGGATGGGACAGCCGGGCCACACTTCATGGCCTCACCGCAGTGTGTGGGCTACGACCGCAGTGCTGCGGTGCCTCTCACCATGGACATGTGCCTGCCAGACCTCCGAGAGATCAAACGGGCTCTCAAGCTCTGGGTGGCAAAGATTGAAGCTAAATCTGTTTATATTGCTACTGATTCCGAGCCCCACACAACAGAAATACAGCAGTTTTTCCAGGAAAAGGTGAGTCTTCCAGAAACCTCTTCTGGCAGGAATGCTTGGATAAAAATCTTCCTTGGCTTCTGGCCCGAGGCTGTCATGGATAGCAGACCAGCAGTTGTGGAATAGGTTATTCACAGCCAAATATTGGCATCTCAAAGTGAATTTGGCTCATAGTAATAAAAATCATCCTGTAAAATTCTTTTGTTTCCCCAGGAGATTGAAGAGCATTGTCTGGCATGGTAGTAAATATTTCCATGAAAAGGGTTTAAATTAAATAAACCTAAGTGATTTTCAGAAATGCTCTGACATTGATCTAATCATAAATGAGTTATAGGGCAGAGAAAGACAAAACTCATTCTCTTTCTGTTGTATATTCAATTTCTAATATTATGCCAAGACATTGGATTGTGATAATAGCTGACTGGATTCATCTGCTCTCCTCGTTTCTCTGCAGCTCAAGGTTGTCAGCTTGCAGCCAGAAGTGCCTCAGGTTGATCTGTACATCCTTGGCCAGTCTGACCACTTCATTGGGAACTGTGTTTCTTCCTTCACTGCCTTTGTGAAAAGAGAACGTGACATCCATGGGAAACCCTCCTCGTTTTTTGGCATGGACCACCCACCGAGGCTGCGGGATGAGTTCTGACCAGAGGAGGAAGAGGCTCCGTGGTTCCAGGGCTCTGAGCTGGGTCCTTGGTGCTGCAGCATTCCCTGTGGGAGAGCTCCTGCCCTCCAATGCTCCTCACAGTCCCTTCCAGACTGCTCTGTCTGATCTCTCCTGTGTTTCCAGTGTGAGCTCAGACAGAAATTTAAATCATGTAGTTTATAGGAAACTATAAACTATATATAGTTTTTTAAGATGTAGCTTTTATAGCTCTCCATTCTTCCTACTTGGGATTCACCAGCAATCATGATGGAGCAGCTGCTCAGATTTCCTCCTCTTTTCTTTCTCTGTTAATTCTAAATTCTCACCTGGAGATGTTTTGAAGCCTCGTGTCCAAAACTGGCCATAATTGGTTCTCTTTGACTGTAAAACTTCTGTCAGGCATATCAAGTTCCCTGGAAAGGGCATGCAAGGTAAAGCTCAGGACATGAAATCTCTGGGGTTTATCAAGGACCACAATTTTCTTACCAGACTTGTGTCACCACAGTGTCTCAGTGTCCCTTCTCCTGTCCAAAGAGATTCCATCCCCCATGCTGTGGGGCTCTGGATCTCTTTGGTGGTGCTGGGGGAGTGCACTGGGACATGGTGTGACATGGTAGCTGCCTGTTCAGCTCCTCTGCATCAGCCTGGGGCAGGGTGTGTGCAGGGACATGGGAGGAGATCTGTCACAGCCAGGCCAGAACTGGAGATTGAGGGCTTGTAGCTTTGTAGCTGTTTATGTCTGTGGGAAGAGAAACTTTGAGCCAAGGTTATTAAAATAGCTGTAGTGGGGTTGGGTATGTCATACCTGGGTCTATGGTATTGTTTTGTATTTGTACTTTATAAGATGGCCCTTCTGAGAGCATTATCCTTGTCTGGGGCAGTTCTCAGTGGAGGTAATTCTGGAAAATTATTCATTGATGGGGAAGCAACAGCCCAAACCCCTGTGTTTGGCCTGGTGTAGTTTGATGCTGGTAACACTGATAATCCCAACATGGTGAGGCTCAACTTGACCAACTTTTGGTGCTTCTGTAATTTCATTTTCTGGTCCAAAGACTTGAGTACAGAATGGTTCAATTTTCAAAAATGCCACTTGGGTGAGCCTGTGGTACCAGAGCTACTGCCTCCAGTGTACTGGTGCAGCCCAGCCAAGGCTGTTATGAACATTTAACTCCAAATGTCTCTTTATGGTGGTCTTATGGTGGTCTTTTCCTCCTTGAAATGTTTCTGAGCTTTGAAGGAGTTTGAGGGCTCAGGGGAGAGAGCAAAATGAGAAGGTCCCCAGCTGTCAGGATGGCAAAAACTCATCTCTTGTTTCCTCAGGGCTGGCTTCAAAAATCATGGGATTTGGGGGAAAATTACCCATTTTAGGGTCTTTGGAAGCTGGGCTTTTGAAGATTGAATCTCCTTGTGTCATACAGTTTACTGATCTTGTGTGATGCCCTTGGGGCTGCCTTGCCTTGCTGTGGAGCAGGGGAAGCCTTTCTCCACACTGTTGGGAAGACAAAGAATAAAACAAAAAGGTGGGGTGGGGTTTTTTTTTAAATAAGGTATTTTTTGTACTAATAAAAACTTGATTTTTTACTCACTCGTAGTGCACCAACATTTCTTCCTCCATTGCAGGAACCTCTCGTACCAGAGCTGCAGCCTGCACTGCACTGCTGCGGTCCAGCTCTGATTAAGGGGCTTTACCTCTGAAACGTCTGTTTTATGATGGTCTTTTTCCCCTTGGAAATACTCCCGAGCTTCGGAGGATTTTCAAACCCGCAGCCTGGGTGCGGCAGAGCGGCGGGCCCCACCTGGCTGGGGCAAAACCCGGCATTTTCGGGATTGGCGGCGCGCGGGATGCCCGCGGCGGGGCCCCTTTGTCCCGGGAGCGGCGGCGCGGGGCGGGCGCGCCGGTTGCCGGGGAAGCGCGTCACGGGCGGGCGGAGCGGCCGCGCCGCTTCCGGGGCCGCGGCAGGAGCGGCCGGGCGGCTCCATGGTGACGGCGCAGGTGAGTCCGGCCCGGCCCCGCACCGCGCCCCGGGCTGGCACCCCGCGGGCCGCCGGCAGCCCGCTGCCCCCGGTGCCCCCGGTGCCCCCGGTACCGGCCGCGGGCACGGCCCGGACCGCGCTGCGGCGGCAGGACCCGCCCGCGGCCGCGCTGCGGGGGCGATGCCGCGGGCGGGCGGCCCCGTTCCGGTGGCTGTCCGCCGCTCCCGGTGCTTCTCCCCCGCGGTCCTGCCCCCTCCCCACCGGCGCTGCTGTCCCCGGGCTCCGCTCCCTGCAGCGCCCGGTGTGGGTGATGCTCGCTCGGGTGAATCCGCGGACGAGCCCGCGGTCCCGGCTCCCCGGGGGAGGGAGCAGCCCTGGGGTGCCGTGCTGGGGTGACAGCGGTGACCAGAGGTGACCCCGAGTGAAATCAGGGCTCGCGGGTGGCACCGCCGGCCCGGCTCCAGCGGCAGCACCGGGATGCCCTGCCCGGCCTGCGGAGCGTTTGGCAGGGAGGAAAAGAGCAGCACCGAGGGTGGTTTGGCTCGGGACGGAGGGAAGGACATAATTCAACCGTGACATTATGAAACCACAAATATTTGAAAGATTTGAATGGCAAGAAGCAATGGAATGTTTTCAGTGGTACCTCGGGATGTGCAGAGATGCAAGGAAAGGGTTTGGGCAGTTCCAAGAAAATCTTTCAGAGATATTTAAGGCAGGAAGCAGAGCAGCTTCGGGATGTCACCTGTCAGGGCAGGTGGCTGGGTGAGCACAGTGCCTGGGGTACAGCTGTCCAAGACAGCACCTCCCAGTCCTGGAAGTTTTTGAGGAAAAGTGGTTGCCCCAGCTTGTATTCAGGTTGTGGCATTGCTCATTTTTTCAGGCATAACCTTTGTGTCGACTGAAATAAATAAAAATGCTTCAATTTCTGCCCGTCCTCCCCTCTTGGTCATCAGGGGCACATTTGCAAGTGCATCCATCTCAGCCTTGACCTTGACCTTGACTTGCAGAGACCTGGTGCAGATCACTTTAGGCTGAACTAATTTAATGAAAAAAATTCCCAGTTTTGATGGGGAAGAATGGGTGGCACAGCAGCATTCCCAGCTTTCTTGCCATTCATGTCCAGCCACTCTGGCAGTTCAAACATTGCCCAGGAGTTTCTGGGGAATACAAACACTGCCAACTAATTGGTTTTATTTTCCAGTTACACACTTGGATAAATCTGAGAAGAACCATAATTTGTTATGCTTCCAGTAAACTTCACTGCAGTAGCTAAAATAATTGGAGATGATTCAGGATGGGTTGTTATGAAAATAACCCACATCAGGGGTAAAATCAGTTGGTTGTGACTATAAAAAGAGGCTTGCAAGTGAAGTGGGGAAAGGTGTCAAAAGCTGATGGTGAGGAGGTACACCCAGAGGAGCAGCAAATGTGCAACATAATTTCCGTTCAAGTAATTTTGAACAGAAATAATTACCTCTGGCAAGACTGACTTAACTCTGATCATTTAATATTTGTCATAGTTGCTTACAAAAGCGGCACTTCTCACCAGAATAGTATTTTAGATATTCAATATATAAAACAAATCCTTGTCAGAACTTGTGCCTAATTCGAGTATTTGCCAGTGTGAACATGCAGATACGTGACACAGTGGCTGTCATGTGACCGTGTCAGAAAATTGTCTCTTGTGAACTTGAATTACTGGAATGTCTCTCAGAGCTGTGGAAGGGGAAGCGTGTGTTAATGTACACAACTCCTCAGGATGAACAGAGGGACAGTTGTTCTTTGTGATTCTGCCAAGATTTGTCCTCGTTTCACTTATTCTTTCTGTGTTTGTGCTCCAGAATTCGTGTTTGCTGTGGGTCAGACAGGAAGGTCACCTTTATCTGGAGCTGTCAATTAGGAGGGGAATGGTTTTATTCAGTAGCTACCCAAAATTCCTAAAACAGTTTAAACTCACTGTGCAGGGTGTGGAGGGAATTCTGAATGAGTGTCCAGTGTCCAGAGAAGCAATCCCCCCACAGACCCAAGGAAATTCCCAAGGCCATCTTGAGGTTTCTGTACAATTCTTAACCATGTTTATCTGTTACCTCTCTTTTACTTTTTGCCACTCTGACTGTATATTGAGCTGGAATTGTGCTTCCTTTTCCATCCAATAGCTCTAGCCCTGCAGTTCTCTGCCACCTTGTTGGAGAAGCTCTCCTGAGACATGCAATTACCAAGTGAAAAACAATTAGAGAAAAATTCCTGTTTCCTGCTGATCCAGCTGGGAAGGGAACAGTGAACACATTCCAAGGAGGCCACACCAGAACCTGTGCCAGCACTGCCTGGGCTTCCCTGTGTGTATTAGTTTTACACTTAGTTCTAGTTGGCAGAGGGACCTCAGGGCTCTTCTTGGAAGACATTTTGGAAATAAAAAGGGTTCATAGAAATTGCATGGCATTCCAAGTTGTGCCATTGAGATCTGCCATGTGAAGCTTTAGCAGACTGTTTCAGCAGTTTAGGAACACAGGCTTTTTGCTCCATTTTCAATGGCAGTTCATCTTGCTGATGACTGGAGGATGCAGCAGTGTGTCCTCCCTCTCTACCCAGAGTCATGAATGAGCTGGATCTGTGATCTGGGTTTATGCAACATGAATTTAGGTTGATGGTGAGTCTTGTAAACCTGATGCAGCTGGAACACCAGAGCAGGAGTGATGTCAGTAGGTCAGCCTAGCTGAGCAGGGCTGGCTTTTTTGGGGAATCCTGATAGAAGTATATTGCCAGAAGAAAGGATAATAGCAGACTTGTGCTCCAGAGAGAGCAAGATTGTATAGATTTTCAGAATGGGAGACTTAAAACAAAAGGCCTGACTGCAAAGAAAATTATTGGCAAAGTACTTCTCATAAATAGTTTTTAAAGGTTTATTGGTATTTTTAAGGGTCAAGAAAAGGATCTTTACCAGCTGCAAAGGTGTGATCTGATTAGTTTTTGCAGCAGAGCTTGTAAAAATGATACCATTTGATGCACAGCCTTTGGTAAAATAATTCAGTCGCAGTACAGGCCTTTACAGGGTTTTCATGTTGTACATTATTCTAGTACTTCAAAATCCCTTGAAACTTAATGAACACAAAATGCTGCTCAAATTGATGAGGTGATTCTTTGGCTTTGTGAAAAGCTGTCCCCTGCAGAAAACTGCCTTCAGACATCCTTGCTTTGTTTTTGTTTCAGGTTTCTAGCACGGGATCATCCATCAACGGGATCACAGCAGCCACAGCCCCGCCGTCATGTCCAAGTCCAAGAGCTCCGAGTCCGTGCGGGTGGTCGTGCGCTGCCGGCCCATGA